CCCGACTTGACAGAGATCTATCCAATTAGAACGCGGTTCGCTAAAAGCGAATACATAAAAACGTTGCATATGTATTCTACTTAAGAGAAATAAGTAATTTTAGCGGCCTACTACTCTACTTCATATTTCAACAAGTCACCTTATTTTTAAACTAGAGATAAATTATTTCTCTCCAGTGGCGGTTTGCCCGTAAGGGCACTTGGGCACGTACCCTAGTATAATAAACAAAAAAAAAATAACTTACATATTTTATATTTTCCTCAATGCCTATTATTATTTTATCTAATATTCAGCGCAAACCGCGTTGGCACGACACTGGACGACCGGGCATTGAGCTACGTTCCGAGAATTCCGAAATTAAGTGGAAGATGGGCACAGGGCAGAGTAAATGTGTGCCTCTGTTGTTTTCTCTCTCATTATGACAATATCGCTTAGCAAGAGATGAACACATGCGATGGATTATACGTCACAAGCGGGGCGCTGTCCTCATCGTGACGTGCTGTACCCATGGCACAGATTACCTAGACCAGATACGAATGTACGCAGGGGCATCTTTACTGGCTCCCTCACAAAGGCGATGCCGGTTTCGGCTTAAGGTGCGCGATTGTTGGACCATGATAATAATTTATTTATTGTGATTACGAAAAAACGTTAGTTGGACCATTGGAATAGTTAAGAAATAAAACTACAAAGAAATTTTTTTTTTATAAAGCAGTCAAAAATATGATGAAAAAAAATCAATATTTATAAATGGGACATTTTAATTTTTTTTTTGGTTTTGTCTGACTTTTTCTTTCGAGGATTTCAAATCTCTGTTTGCATATTTAAGAGTATAACAAATTCTGAGTCTAAATAATTTAATGGTGTACATTTTCGCAAATAGTTGGCAAGGATGACCAAATTCTATTTTGCTCATTTCAAAAAGGTATGCGTTGGAAATTCCAGGCTTAGTTGACAAAATATCAAATAGATATATAAATATTTTTTCTAATTTGAAAATATAAAAGAGAAATTTTTCGCTGGGAGATTTTAAATCGCCAAACACCTTTTCTTCAGAGTCGTATGCTTTAAAATGCGTTAACAAGTTAGAATTGTTAAGTAAATTGCATTCTTCTGAGAAATTTACGCAAATTTCGCAAGAGTGGATATGTAATGATTTTTTGATTAAATGGCAATCACAACAAGACCCACAAGTACAAGCAAGAAGAAACGGTTTGTTGAAAAGGAGGACCCCATTCCTAATTTAAGGATATGTAAGGAAATTTGTGATACAATAGTAGTGCAGGTAAATGAACGTTTTAGTTTTACTACCCACCTAACAATTGCAAGTTTATTTGATAGTGAAAAATTTAAAGACTACCGAGGTTGTTTTCCAAATAAGGACGTTAAAACTGTGTGTAGTTTATTTCCAAACGTAAACAGCTTAAAATTCAAAAACGAACTGTCCATACTTTACACCCGAGATGACTTTGTGCAACACAATGGGGCCGTACCGTTATTACAAATGTTTTTTGAGAACAATTTGACAATTACATTTTCGGAATCTGTGGAGCTGCTAACTATCCTGTGTACAATTCCCATGACCACAGTGGAGGGTGAAAGATGTTTTTCGACACTAAAACGTATTAAAACATTTTTAAGAAACACTATGTGCCAAGATAGATTGTGCGCGTTAGCCATGTTATCCATCGAAAAAAACTTATTCGGTCCATTCCAAATTTTAATAATCTGGTCATCGATCACTTCGCTAGCCAAAAATCCAGAAGAATGGACTTCAACTATAAGAAATAGTATACAACTGCAGCGGTACCTCTTCGAATGCGAAGCTCTTACTGGGCGGCGTTTCATCCTTTTCGGCCTAGAACCGGAAAGAACGCCCCAGGAACACTTGGTAGTGAACCTATTAAAACTAACCAAAGACACAGGACTATATCATCGGATGGTGCCGTACTGGAGTAGGATTGCGAGTTATTACGCTGCCTAAACATGCGGAAATACTACTTCAGTACAACCCGTAATTTCTTGCGTGAAAAAAAAACATATGTATTTGCATAATTTATTAATATTTAATGTCATACTGTAAATGATTTTTAATATTGAAGGCTACATTATGGGGTTGCTTTTCGGCACCTTAACTGAAATAGGTATCTTTAGCTCTTCGGCGTGAGGTACTTGTGGGTTGTTCTTTGGCAAATTAGGCTAAAGACACACACGGCTGTTTTCGCCGAGTCGGCCGCCGACTCGGCCATCGCCTCGGTGGATGCTGTAATGTAAATAAATGGAGTTGTTCACACTATACTGCGCTGCGAGAAAGCGACGCTACAACGCCGCGCGTACCGTCGTTCGACTCAAATGCATTACTTTTGTGAACCGCTTCGTGTGTTTTGGCAGAGGCGGCCAGCCGAGTCGGCGGCCGACTCGGCGGAAACAGCCGTGTGTGTCTTTAGCCTTATTGTAGATATAAGTTTTATTTAGTAATAATTGATAATCAAGTGGCGACATTCTTACCTGTAAGTGTAGTGCTATTTGCATCGTTTATTAATGTTTTTTTGGTACACTGTAAATTATTCTTAATATTGATTGCTATGAGTATATTATGGGGACGCTTTTTCGCGTCTTGGCGTTCTAATTTTGAATTCTTCCTCTTAAAATACATCTAGCTTTTCGGCGTTAATATTGCACTAAGTAATGTTTCAATAGTTACTTCCATTTTATTGGTAGGATTTATTGTAAATTCACTTTTTGTTTACAAACAACCGAATACCGAGCCGCCGCGTGTTATAAACAACCAAACATAACCACTAAATGAACACTTGCCGTACTAAAATAGCAATTACAGAATATTATGCCGCGTATAGACCAGAAAATCCTACTCCGATACAGCACCATCCGGGGCTATATTCAAGTAGGTTTTCTGCACGAATAACACATAAAAACCCTAGTCTAGTTGGTCACTGCCTGGGGGACGTATTGAAGTAGCTTTTCTATTTATGCCGCCAGGCACATGCTTTTATTTTCTTTACTATACGGTGCAAGAGAGAGGTCCGGCACGCCCAACATAGGGCGCGTCCATTTTGATTCCTATGTCACAGTTTATAGCTAAAGAATCAGATCGCTCACTCTGCGTCGGCACTTTTGATCTCAATGTTCCAGTTTATACACTGCGCAACTCGGATAATACAATATATGACAACCGCCTATAATAAAACAGCAGCCTTCTGCGTATCCTGAATTTGTATCCCTAGAGTGGATGTTATTTTGGAACTTTCAACTGGTCCGAGTGAGCTAACTGATACAGCAGCAAGCAAAATATCAGGTGCGTTTTAATCATCCGCTTCTGCTTCCGGAATTGTCGGTTTAGTCGTTTTAACCTGTCAGATTAAAACAAGAAAACCGACAATTCCGAAGCAGAAGCGGATGATTAAAATGCAACTATTAAAAATATTGCGCCAAGATGTAGGCAACACGTAATAAGGGATCAAAATGGCGGAGTTTTCTATCTACTTTTAAAAGGCACTCAGAAAGCTGCGCAGTGCGACTATTCTCCGTATAGTAAAAGAAAATCAAAGTATGTGACGCCAGGACATTTCTGACAGGACTGACAGTTCAGTTTAGTTCCTTTTACGTCAAATCAGGTCCTTTCGATGGGTTTTTGATGGTTATCAGATCACGTGGGTTTCGGGTATTGTTGAAGACCTGGGCCCATTTCATAAAACTACTTTGCAACTTTTCACTTTGCACTTTGCATATTTTAATAAATATAAGTTTTATAAAAGAGAAATTTGATGAATTAAAAAGTAAAATTTGATAAGCAATTTGAAAATTGAATATGAAAAATTAATGATCTTCAAAGTTAACGATGTTTTTTTATGAAACACAAATATTTTGCACTAGTAAATTTGTAAAGTGCAAAGAGAAAAGATGCAAAGTAGTTTTATGAAATAGACCCCTGGTATAAAAATAGGTCGCCCAAAAGTCACTGTCGTTCGTTTATTACAATTTCAGACTTTTCAAATGATTCGAATGATATTGGTATAATCGAATTAATATGCGAATGATGGTAAAGATCGAATATTCGAATGATTTACTATTCGAATGATCACATCTCTAATTCAGTTAACATCGCGCAATCGCTATCGAGGAGTATTTTAGTACCGGTCTCTCAATTTTCGCCACGCAACGTGTATTCCGTTTACATTTCAATATTGCTCCCCGTGGCCGTGTTCCTGGTCGACAACCGATTGTTTCATGCAGAGGCGGCTTGTGGGGGTGGTTCACAGTGACAGAATATAGGTATCAGTACAGATGTATGAAAAACCTTTCATTGTTTTAGAAAGTTTATAATACACCTTCCTAAAACAATGACAGTTTTTTACCTATATCTGTACCGGAATCTATATTCTGCTACTGCGAACCCCCAAAATTTTGGTCACAAGCCGCCCCTGGTTTCATGGGTAAACTGGTGACTAAGAACACGGCCACGGGGCGTAATATTGAAACGTACTAATGTACACGGAATGCACGTTGCGTTGCGTGGTGAGCTACCGTTACTAAAATAGGCCTCTACAGCGAACGCGCGTTGGACCTTCATCCACTGCATCATACTAACCTTAATAGAATCAAGCGGGATAAAATTTTGCGACCCACTCTTTCGACTGTTCCTACCCCGATCCTCCCCCGAGCAACCGTTGCTCCAGGGCGCCAAATTCAAATGAATAAGCAAGTTACTCTGCCCTACACAGTAGTTAATAATCTTGACCTCAACTTAGCTGTATATCACAAGTTCGGTACCTTTTCACAAGATCAACAATTTTGTAAGAAACCCTATTTTTTTTCTTTAATGTAATGGAAAACTAATAAAAACAACAACTGTAATGAACAAAAATCTAAAACTAAAAGGAACATAGAAAACTAAAATTAAATGGAACAAAAGTAAAAATATATATTTCTAAGGTTCGCAAATATAATCTTCTAATCCGCCTTCTCTTCTGTCCATGAAGGTTTGGCCAAGACGTTTATAGATCAAAGAAGAACAGATAAGAGGACACCGAATCAGTAAGCTCGTGCTAAGGACATCAACCTCGCACATTGTTGTTGAGTTCTCGCAAGACCTATAGGGATCTAATAAAATTTACCAAAGAAAAGGACTATTTAAATATAGTACCTAAACACAGGGAAAACAGAAAACAGAATGCAATAGGCCTAAGAGGCCATGGTGTTTTGGGGTAAATCTAACTCTACTTATGTATAACCAACAAAGATAAAGATAGATCGAAGTTTGGGGCAAAGATGCTCGAGATCACCTACCATGAACTGAAATTTAGATGGACAGTTTCAAACCATAAATGGACAGTACATTTACACATTTATTAAAGACTATATCTAAATTCTCATGATTTACCCAAATTTCAATAAAAACGATTAAAAATAAGAGCCTAAAGTTAGTACATCTCAAGTTTGTTTTGTTTTTTTGTTATCCATTTCCTGTTTTTCTTTAATTATCCTTTGTTTAAACAACCTGTTTTTTCTCTTATTATGCGTTTTTTCTTTAGCATTAATCTTGAAGTTCTTGTATTCTATTTTAATTTGTTGATTAATCCGCCATTATTCAGACGATTATTGTCAAAGCAAATTTTAAAATGCTGTAATTTTTGTTAAATTTGACGAAGCCGCTAAAATTCACTTTAGCCATGGCCTGTATACTGATATTGCATAAACAATAACGAAAGTGGCCGAATACTGGATGTGGCCGGTAAACTGGTCCATTTACCCTATTAAAGTGATATTTCTGTGCCATAAAATTTTGTTTTTAACGAGCGTGTGAATAATGCCATCTTTCCACACGCATTTCCGTTTATAGTACTATTTAAATTTAATAAACATTTTGTGGTACCTATTGATTTTAAGCTTTATTCTTTCTACATCATACCTACTACTTATTTATTTAAAAGAATATTTTCTATGACAGTTATGTGTGAATTGAAAAACAAATTTTCAAAGTGTTTTCTTCTCTACCACTTATCATGTATGTTTATATTGTAGTATAGCTTATACAAACAAAACTTGCCTTGTAAATGCCAATAAATACTATTAGCATTATAATAATTTAACAAGAGAGATATTACTTTCAAGCTGTACTTGTAAATTTGTAATATCTTACACCTAATTTTGCAAAATGTCCAATCTATTTTCTCGAAAGATGTAAACCTCCAAAATAAAAATTGCAATTGCTACAATGCTACCACCAGTGAGGATGTAAAATGCGTAGATAAGGTCAAGTAAAGGTAGCGATCTAGCTGGATTTTCATATTGCCATGAACTATTTTGTCTATCCATTGAATAACTGCTGAAATCCTTCCATTTGGAGATTAATCCTCCTTCCACTAATCTGATCAAGACTCTATTGAATTCCCATAGATATGGAGACTCTTCTGGAAAAGTATAAGCGAGGAAAAAACTTCTTGGACAATGTGGAATAACGTGTAGTTTGGGATTACCTGAAGAATCTAAAAAATGTGAGTTTATCATAAATTTAGCATCAGTTTTTCTAACTAAAGCAGCACGATTGTTATCGCGTTCTATTTGATACATATTTGAAATATTACTCTTGCTGTTGTCGACTATCTTTGTCTTCAGTATCTTGAATTCATCATTTTCTATATCATCGAATATGTGTATGTAAGATGTGTAAATTTTTATTTTGCTATTAAGGAAGTCGGTCACTGTCATATCGGGGTAATATTGCACCCTGCCGTACGATTTAACCAGGTTACCTTGAAATATGGTTGAAATAACGAGAGAATACATCATAAAAGCGACCAATAAGTATTTGAATCTGGAATTTTTGGGAATTGCCGTTGTTACTGTGATAGATATGCCGTAAATAACCATCCACGAATATCTTGCTTTTTGAAGCATCTGCCAAAACACGAGGCTCAGTACTTCGATGATCAAGATTAATAGCCAGACAAATATGTTGAAGCAATTAAATATAGCCGTCCAAGAAGGTTTTTTTAAAGCTTTTGGTATCACTATGCACATTTTTTCCATGTCTATCGGTATGGAGTACTCTATTCGTTTCAAAACGTCTATAAAGCGACTGTTGGCGGCGAAATCCACTTCTTTCCTCAACACTTTTCCTAAAGCTCCTGTTACGAAACCGTTTTTGTAGAACGTGCCGTAATAAACGACTGGATCATCATCAACGACTATCGTGAAATTGAGATATTTAGATAAATTTATCAGTACGTTTGCATCGACACCACATTTAAGGTTACATTGGTCCCATTGTGAAGGGGAATTAAACAGTTCAACTGGCTCTGCCATTAAGGTAGGCGTTCTTGCAAACACGGATACTTTCAAAGGCCATCCGTTGAAATTCTTTAATTTTCTGCTGTATTTCCAATTATGTGAACGATTGTGATGTAAAATTCGATCGATGCTTATTTTCTTTATTTCTCCAAAGTTGTTTTCTGTAGTTCTTTTGAAAGGTAAATATCTATAGAATAAGTCTGGATTGCAGGAACAAGGTGCGTGTGCTATGATGTTAAAAATGCTGTTCTTTTTCGATAATTCCGTTAAGCTTGAACTTATACCTAAAAAATAAAAAAGAACTAATAAATAAAAAATAATGGCATTAAAAAATGGCAAATTACCATTTTCCTCGAAAATAAAGTTCTCAACAGACTAACACAAAAATTATAGAGATAAATAATCACTATTAAAAATTACAAAGCATCTATTATATGTGATTTCTTTGGTTATACCTAGTCTAAGAACTGATGTAATCTTGATTTTTTAATTATGGAATTTCTTAAGAATGACTAATATTCGACTTTTAACAATTTGGAATTAAAAAAAATAACAAACTAATAAATACGAAATGAGCACCTAGATTTTTGTTTTAATTCAGAACCAACATTGAACCTGATTTTTCTTATCTATTTATTAATTTAGGGTTTGTCAATTGATCCATCAGTCCACCAACACAAAGAGCAGATGGATTTGGTGACAGTTTAGTTGAATAATAGAATCCGATGTATGACTCGTCTAAAAATTGTTGATGGATAAAATAACGGTTATGATGAATATTCATTGAGGTAGTATTATTAGACATTCCAAACAAAATGCTTCCTGTTTGAAATGACAGGCCACTGACAGGTTATAATATGGCAACACTGTGGGACTGGTGATTTGATAGGGTCAATGTTATAGACAGTTATATAGATTGATTATTTATGTTTTTAAAAATAAACATAAGCTTATGCCTTGAAGTAAAAATGTAGGAAACTATATCGTATCACGCAAGAACGGCTGAACGGTTTCGGTGGGATGGATTTGTTTTTGTTTTTCACAGGCATGATTTTTGCATAGTGGTAGTGAAACATACAAATTTGAAATACAGCTACTGAGCATAAATAAATAATGACGTGTTTCTGGGTTTTGGATTTTTACATTTTATGGGGGGAAACGGGGATTAAAAGTTTGTATGGAAGCATCGATTAATACCAACAGTATTTTCTGTGCTGTAGTTTGATTAATTTGATTTTTATTATTTTCATAAAATTTTGTAAAATCCCTGACTAAATATTTTCATTTAAACAGTGACTTAGTATGCCCTCAGCCTTATTTAGCTTTAATTAAAAATTAGCCCTACTCATCAAATTTTAACACTCTTTATCAATAATTTGCATTTTACTTAAATAGGAATAAATAGTAAATAATGTATCAATTAAAATATGTAAGACTTATTTAGAAATAAATACAACAGTATGTTCTGTGCTTTATTTAGCTATAAACAAGTTTATTTTCATTATTTTGACAAAATTATGTATAATTCCCATAAGAAGCCATGTATTTTGAACTACGTAAACCGTACCAGCGCCCATGCGGTTAATTATAAAAGCTCAATTGACGTGTGATTTTTGGGACCGTATTTTGAGCATGCCGATTCGCCTCTTTATTTCTAGTCTTCATAGCAACAACTAAAATCCAATATACATTATTTTACAGTTGTTAGTCGAAAAACATCAAAATGACGTCTCGCAATACGTCGCGGTTCAAACGAACTTTGAATCGAGAATCAGTATACTGTTAGCCTATGTATCCTGTTATAGATTATTTTTGGAAATTGTCAATATAAATTTAGGTTGGAGAAAGATGTTATAATTAGAAAAGTTAATAAATTTGATAAATAAAATAAAAGTTAAAGATAGTTTTATTTTAATTGAAATAAAAAGGTTGAGTTGAAGTAGAAAGGAGATTAAAGCAGATGAAACCGGCAAGGTGAACAAAACGAGGTTAGTTATAAAAAATGAATATTTAGAAGAGGTAAAGTATGAGAAGCAGGATAAATATAGGAGTTACAGTAACAAACAAGGGAGCGGTGAATAGAGAAAGAAGTTAGAACAGAAGGTGTAGAAGAAAGAAGAGGAGCAGAGTTTTTAATTTTTTTTTGATTCAAAATTTTATTTCGGTTATAAATTTATGGAATTATTGTAGGAAACCATTGAAGCCACTGCTCTTAGTGCTCGTAGAATATTGTAATAGGTCTACCTAATACAGGGTAGAACCATTACAATATCTATTGTACATTCAATGTACGTATAAATTTAATATTAAATATTAACTTTTATTTTTTGTTGTATGTATTACGTTTTTTTGTTTCTTTGACATAAGTATTTGTCTAAATATATTATTAAAACATAAAAAATTAGGTTTTTGGATTATCCGTGTTTTCGATTATACGGCAAAGGCTCGATCCCGGCTGGCCCGGATAATCGAGGTTCTACTGTATTTTATTCCTTTTTTATTTTATCTGATAATGCAGAACATACCTTAAAACTTAAACTCAAAATTATTCAAATATCATTCAAAGGCTAATGGCCGTAGTAGTCGATGCCGATGACACCGAATTAAAAAAAAAAATATTCAAATGAATAGAACCCTTAGCAACATGTTTAGCCTTTGGTAAATATATTTGTTTTAATAAACGGCACAGCGCAATGATAGAGTTGCGTAAATCTGGCACCCACAAATTCGATGTTTTTTTTTTTCATATTAATTCGCTTTGGGGTTCTTGAAATTATAAGTTTTCTGGGCTTTTTGTTATGCTTTCATTGTATTTTCTGTCCAAAAAAGATGGTGGGACGTTGTGACAGTGAAACTGAAAGATGTAAAACCTTCAATAGTCTGCATGGGATAATATTCCACGATTGTCCCAAGAACCAAAGGCAATAATTTTTAGAATACGTTAGAGAAAGTATTATCGAAGAAAGAAAACTTAAGATTTTTTTACCAGTCTGGAGATCTAGGATATAAAACATCTATTAAAGGGTTACAAATTAATTAGTGACAAATCATATTAAAAAAAACTATTTACTTTGGAAACCACTAAAATAGTAAAAACCATTCAATTTTCGATTTAATCTTTGGATCTGTGGGCATTTACCACTGTGGTAGTAGAAACCAAAATGGCGGGATCTAGAGACACCTCTCAGTGAAGTTGTTAACCTGCAGGACTTTGACGAGCTGTCCCTAGACCGTTCTGGCCGTTCTTCGTGACTTTTATGACAAATTAAGTGTTAGTTCTGTCAAATACGTCAGCAAGATTGTTTTAGGGTTACTACTGAAGTTATTAATGCTTTTACCTAACTGATGACATGTATTTGGCCACGTGGGATACGGTATTATTGAAGACTATATTTAAACTTTGAACACATTTTTGGAGGGCCAGATTTACGCGACTTCGTGAAAATCTCTCGTAAGCTGTATTCCTAAATAAAATTAATTTACCTTTCATAACGCTTTTACAGTTCGTTTTATCAGACGTTGCGAATATTATTACGAACGTGACCCTGCATTTCCATTTTTTAATCGTTGTGATAAATTTCTTCAATTCGTCACCATCTTCCACTAAAATAGTGTAGTAGCTGCTGTGGTGCATTGCGAATATTTTGTGCTTGGAAAAAAACATTTTGCTTTTACCTTTGTCTAAATCTATGTGACGAAATATTTTCGGTCGGGTAATAAGTCGTCCCAAAAAATCGACCAAATCATGAATCCCGCCTACATTATTGGTTTCGTTATTGGTCAGCTGCGTTATCATCACAGTGCTTGCCATCGAAAAATAACTGCAATAAATTTCGTTTTGTTCAATGCTTTTGGTAAATATATTTTCGATATTTTATATATTGATTGCTTTAGTTTGGATTTGGGTAGTTTTATTCCAAACTTTCCTGTATTACATTGAAACCTTTTACAGAACTTTTTTCATTTAGTCGAATCGGTTGAGACAGATAGGATGCCAAATTAGAGTAACGAAGACGGCACTGAAACATGGAGGAGATGAGGACCTTTTTTTAGAAAGGTGATATTGAAAGGGCTTAATTTTTGTTATAAAAGTGTCCCGGGGCCCCAACTGGCTCTCGGCGGTCCTGGCTATATACAGGGTGCCCCAAAAAAGTAGGCCAATCCGTTAACCATAGATTCCGTAATGGCGGTTTTCCACTAAACGGACAAGACAAGAACAAAACACAAACTAGTTTGGAAAAAAATAAAACTGCAACTTTTCGCAAACTTATGACGTGTTTTGGTAACATCAAAATGTTTCGACGTGTTTTGAAACTCGAGTCTGTTTACTGGAAACGGCCGTGTTGTGTAGTCTAAATTTTGTACAGGTAAGTAAATAACGTATTTTTTATAGATAAGTAATTAGTAATGAGTAATTTATTTTTAAATGCTGGATAAATGTATATAACTATTTTTATTAGTAGAGTATATGTCAGAGCCAGACTAGGTTAAGTCCAAATATTGTACTTTCAGGTTTTTATGATATCACATATACATCTTTTAACTTTCTTTTATATATATTTTCAAATAGGATCTATCTTAAAAAATAAATAGGTATTATAAATATAAATAAAATATTGAAAAAATGTGTTCTGACTTCCTCGCAACAACCAGTGAAAAAGGACCGAAAACAAAAACAAAACTGGAACAATATGTAGCCCGCTCGATGGAAATATGAGTTTTGGGTTTGTCTCAGTTTTGGTTTTGTTTTTCAAGTTCCAGGAAACACAAAAAAAAACAAACTCAACTGTCCGTTTAGTGAAAAACCGTCTTAAGAAAGCGATATTATTTTTTTTCTATTTAAGATCATGTTCAATATACAGAGTGACAAAGTTAATTTAAAAAAATACGTTTTTCATTATATTTTCGTCGTTTTTTTAAGTAGATGACGTAAAATTGGTACACCGAGGTTTTTTGAGATGACAAATCATAATTTAGAGGGCGATAGTTGCAAGGGGTTTATTACCTTTAACCCTATCTAAATGTTGGCCCCAAACAAAAAAAATAATTGAAGTTTCTTACACTGATCTAAGGAATCTATGGTTAACGGATTGGCACATTTTTTTGGGACACCCTGTATACAGTGCGCCACAAGCCACACTTCTTGATGAAGGCCATGGTTGAATTGGGTGAGACTAAAGTTGGTGGACTCCACTCGGGTGAATCCTAAGATCGGGAATCTAGATCTTTCCAAAGCGGAGCAGGTACATGTTCTGTAGATTTGTCTTCCACGCTGCAGAATCGA